CTTCTGTCTAACCTGATTCCTCGGCGGTCATCTTCTGTGTAGTAAACCGCCTCGAAAATGATCCAAATGTTTCCCCGCCCCGTATCCACAAAGTTTGTGGAAGCGAAGTAACCACTCTCCGCCTAGTTGTTAGCAAGAAGTTGCTGTGATGATGCTACATCTATTGCTGATCGATAGCGCTTTTTATTGAATTAAACTGGATTCGAAAAATGTCACGAACGTTTCAGACATCCTAGGATACTCAATAACTCAATAAACCAAACAAGAAAGAAGTCAAACGACCAGGACGGCTACTCAAGTCCATTCTATAGGGTTCTGACACGAGACCAGATGGCATACCTTGTTCGCTCCCTCGTAAAATAGATCGTGACAACATGACCGATGCCCTTTGTTTAAGCGATGTGTGGCTTCCGGCATTTGTCCAGTTCGCGAGTCTGAACAGTCACTACCATCATTAGACAGATTTCGCTTTGAAAGAGCACATCGCATTTTATACTTCATTAAAAAAATCTCCATAACAATCCAAGCGTCTCCTTTTTCTCTGCTTACACAAAATCTTTGCCTATCTTTTCTTCCCGTCCAGTTGTTTGCCAACTCCCCAAGAAAGATATATGCGGCGGGTGGGTGGGTGAACTAGTCATGGAACATGTACAGCAGTGGGTAGTGCACGGTCCGCCATAAAGAGCGTAGGTGATGGTGTAGAAGTAGGGAAGAAAATTTTCCAAGTGGCTGGTCTGTGAAGAGAAAATGCCACAGGGAACGGTAGCTACCTTTCGGCCGAAAGGAGGACTTTGAAGGCGGAGTCTGGAGGCGGAGTCACTGTAAAAAGAGAGGTGACACTGGTCAATTTTGTGCCTTAACTCTTTCACCCTACGACTTTCATCCGCAAAACTAGCACAAGATTGTCCATTGCGAACCACACTGCTCCTCCCACACAACTTTTGCATTTTCATGGGAGGTCGCGAACCAGGGCACCTGCGAGAACATGTGCTGGAAAGCTCTCCCACGAAAAAGA